AGACAGGGTGGCTGGCAAACGCCAGTGACTTTGCAGTAGCACTCTACCAGCAGTTATAGTCTACTTCTACAGCATTAGCAGCAGCCATGATGATTGTGCTACAGACCTGCTATACCCATGTTGGAAGACAAACTCCACCATCGGTTTGGACCCAAGTGGTAACACCCAGATGCTGGAACACTGGTACCTACTGGTACTTCAGCTGCCCCAGACAAAGTGACATTCAACCCCACCCAACCCTGGGTCCTATCTGCCAGATCCATGTCTCTATCTCGGAAAGCCTATTGGGCTGACATGGCACTAGATGCTTGCACATAGACTAGCGTAAGCTGCTCGCATTTTGAAGTGGCATACTGACCCCTGCACAAAGTCCATCTCCTGCACCACGTGATTTTGTGCTCAGGCTCAGCAAAAGACTCCAGTCATTGAATAGCTCATTTCCCTCCTGATAAACCTGTTTTCCAGGATAGAAGTCAGCCTGTGGTAATTTCTTTGTAGCAGGAGAAAACACTTTTTTTTGCCACTATTATAATCTAACACAGATATAAAGGCGAACAAAGAAGGCAAGCAAATCCCACTTTCAAAATGGAGTCTACCCGATAATGTACAGAGAAACCGAGTTCCCTGCTGTGATCATGAACACAATACAAGCTCCCCATGCTGTAACAGTTGCTTAAAATGACATGCTTACAAACCGTATCTTAGCAGACTGAAGAGGTAGGTCTGGTCTACATTTAAGATATGCTAACATACTTATGGCTATATAGGAATTAATTTTTGCCATGCCACCAAAAGCCCTAGAAAAGACATAGTTACAGTGGTCAAAAAAGAGGGACACGGAGAGAAACAGAAAAGCAAACAGATCTTTTGGGGCAACCAACTTAAACTGGGTCCAAACAATGCTTCCAAAAGACTGCGAATATAACCTGTCTCCTCTCAGAGTTTTTAAAGACAAAATTACCGTTTTCAAATACACAGCTGACAAAAATTATGTTCATAACAGGACACACTAAATGATGATATCTCCTTCCTCAACTCTAGCATAGGCAACAAAATCTTATGAGGGAAAAAAAAAAATCCCTAGTTTGCTATTTTAAATATACCCTCAATTTAAGGTTAAAGAAAGCAAGCCAAGCCAGAAATCAGCATGTAACAGGAACTTGATTACAGTCAGCAAATGAAGTAAAGGAAAAATGAACCCCAAGGAAAATAACTGAAAACTAAGTGGGGACAGTGGGGCACAAAACCCTAAAAAACCCTACAGACTATCCAAAACCCTAAGGGGGAGCAGAAGTCTCAGCTCTTGCTCACTTTGCTTTAACAAAGTGCATGAAACCACAAACTTTCATTCCTTTACACAGCTGTTAAAGAATGTAAAGAAAAACATTGCCAAGAAAAAGAGGGCATTTCCATTTCTCAACAGCCAAAACTTCATGATACATTTTTAAAAGGGGTCATTTTTTCTCAAAATACCAAATGTTTTTTCCTCACTCCCTCCAAATGCAGGTAATTTTCTTAATAATTTTCACCTTTGCACTGTTGAATATAATGGGACAAATAATACATGATGCACAAATAAGTCATAATGCTCTCTGCAAGTTAATAGCAGCAGTGAGATGCTGAATGTGTGATAAATCTAGACCTGAAAGTGAAATATGCCTCCTAATTAAAAATCAATTATTAAAACCAGTAAAGAATGAAAAAGAAAAAAAGCTCACCCACCAAACTCATAACAAAATCCTGAAAACTTCAGAGTTATGTGAAAAACAGAAAGAAACCTTCAACATCTATATTTAACTAAAGATTCTTCTAAGACCCTATTGTGGGTTTCTCGATTTTATGATTAAACAGTGAATAGTGACCAGTTCTGTGAATAATTGTTTCTGGTATCTTTTGTGCTTTTATCTCTTCATTCCAAATGGTCATGAAAGTGAATAGACAGCATTTAAATGGGGAATGCAAGAACAAATCATTACTCTAGCTCTGGGAAATCAAAGTACACAGATGCACTGATGTGGTTCTGAGGTGACGCAGGGATGATAAACAGCCACCCAAAACCACCAGCACCTAAATTTAAAACCAAGGGCACTATGTATACCGACAACGTTGCCCATTGGGTTCCTCAACAGTTCTCCTCCAGCAGATGGTTCTAACATACATATTGAGTAATTTGCAAATGTTAGATCAGGGTGTTCAAATAACTATTTCCAACTAATTTGTGTTCAATTCTGGAAAGATTTCAAATGGAGAACAATTGAAAAGCAGCTCAAAATCACAAAACCTGTTGCACAAGCTTGGACAAGCAGAAATTTCTAGTTTTCATTTTCTGTAAAACTAAGATACGTATTCATACCCCCAGCAGTGACAGAGAGATTAAATTAACGAGCGTTACTGAAGAGATCTGAATCCCATTATTGGAGAAACTACACTGGTATTATGCATTATCATAAATATTCAGCATCTGCAATCAAAAGAAGGCTTTGGTGTTTACGTATATAATAAAGTTTTAATAATTCACTAGCAATATTTCACACAGAGCGCTGCCGCCAATTCCTTCTTCAAAAAGGAAAAATATATCCAGAATTTAAAATCCAAAACCATTCAACTGGAAACAAAACTATCCCTTCTACAAAGAAATGCATGTTGCCAGTAGCAAGGATTCTTCCAAGAGGTAGGGGCTCCGGGCTTCATCTGCCTGCGGCAGGCAGGTGGGCCAGCCAGGGGCGCTGCCATCTTGTGCTTCCCTGAGCAAGCTCCAGCCTGCAGACCCTGGGCACCCTTCGCTTCTCCAAGAGGGCACAGCCAACACATGCACCCAAGGACGGAGCCACAGGCACCCCATGGCAGCCTCCCAAACTCGTAGAGTACTTTGGCAGTGAAATTCTCAGGGTTTTTCCTCAAAAGGCTCAGAAGACCTAAGCGACTGCACTCTGAAGACACATCAGCCACCCTACCCAAAGGCAGCTCATGGCACCTCCAGAGCACAAACGCAGCCCCTCAACCATCAGCAGTCAAACTCTAAGCCATAAAATAATGGTCAAATTTGGTCTTTTACCTGCATCGCAAGCATGGGGTACGTTGTTATCCGTCTACTGGAGATTAAAGAATCTGGGATTGTGTTTCACATGGTTTTGGCCATGGGGGGCTGCACGGAGACCTCCTCTGTGGGAGGGCGTCGGGACTGCCCTGTGCTGCCCACAGCCAGTTGCAGCTGGTTCCCTACAGGACCCACTGTGTGCCAAAACTCAACCTGCCACAGCAGCTTCCCAATGCTGCTGAGGAAAGCTATTGAAGAAATGGTGGTAAAAGCCCACAAAGACGCCAAGGCAGGAGGAGAGAGGGGAGATGCAGAAGAGAAGGTGCCCCAGTCTCTGTGCTGCCATTATCTTGGCCTGCCCTGAGTGGGGGCAGGAGAACAGGAAGCGGGGGGTGGGGGTGGGGCGGGGGGGCCAAGATGTTTTTAATTGCCAATAAATTAACTCAATTGAAACTCCCCCAGTTTTAACACATAAAATATAGGAAAAATCCCAACTTGACCTGTGGTGTGGGCTCATCCCATCTGCCACAGAGGGTGAGCCACTTTATCTAGTGCCACACGGAATGGACATCAACTTTTGAAGTACAGTCCAGCTGAATAAATACCACAGAAAGTCAACAGCCAAATCCTTTCAGCAGTAGCAGTGCTCTGGGAACCTGATTGGAATTTGAACATTTGCATCGATTTTTTTTTTTTTTTTTTTGACATTACCAGCTGGGAGCAAGCGCTGGAGAGGAGGTAAGCGGACGGCTCCACAGGAACATGAATGGCTAGCAAAGGATTACGTTTTAAAGGATTATCTTTTAAACAAAGAAAAATTTGGGATACTGCAAACAACTAACTCGAATCAAAAGAAACAGATTAATCCAACAGGATTACCAGGTAAGGCTTCCCTGTACTTCAGTGTCCAGACACACAGCTGAGAAACATGAACAGTTTTATTTAGACACCTGGGTGCAGTTGTCAAGCACCTTTTCATGGTGCACAAATAAGGGAGGCCTGTTCAGTTAAGGCTGTTAAAACAAAAGCTTTGACGACTTATCCTCAAGTCTCACAAGCAACAGCAATCTTCTGTCTTTTCACAGAGCCCTTTCCTTTACTCTTGCATATGTAAGCTCTGATCATCAAGTCCTTTTAACTCCAGCCAGGAAGGAAGATTAGTCGCTGCCTGTACTGCTCCTGCACTGTGAAATTTCCAGAACTGAGCTCTTTTACTTCCCTCTGGGAGGCAGGGGAAGTCACAGAAAACTGAGATCAAGCTCTTCATGGGTTTTTTTTTCCTGAATTGTTAACACTCGTGTAAGCTTTTATGGCCACAGTACTACAGTATTACAAAAAGCAAAATAGCATCGATCTACTAAAATAAAACAGCATCCATATATTTGGAAACAATACACACTATATGCACTTGAGTATCTCTGTCTTACTAGCAGACTTGTTAGTAGCTTATCTAACATGCACCAAAGATTTGTATTTAAATCTGCTTGAGTATTCTGGCAAACAGAATGGGGTAAGCAACTGAGTTTAAAAAAAAAAAAAAGTGCAAAGATAAAGCCTCATTAATTTACTAAAATGACTTTTTACAGTGTTTTAATTTTTTAATATTTCTTTTAAAACTGTTTATTTAACATCCATTCAAGGTTCCCTTGAAGTAAATTAAAAATCCTAAATACTTAAACACAACATAACATAAGGCAGTTCAGCTCTTTTATATTTCAGTCAGCCTCATATACAGGTCAGCCCTAGTCTAATCCAGAAGGGAAATGGGATTGAGCAGCAGTCACAAACCCTGCCTCATGGTGATATGAAACATCAACTTTGGTGAGTTTGCCCATCTAATAATTTTACATTTCCATCTTTTGAACTTATCACATACTGTTTTATAACCAACTAAACACTACATTTGTTCAGCATATATTTCACACTTATTTAAGAATAAATAGAGCATTAAACCAAGACTCACCTCCTCCACCTCCAAGAAGGCTGGAATTAGCTGCAAGAAGAACAAAAGGAGAATCATTAGCACTGAGCTTCCTAAATATAGATGGAACCAAAACAGAAGATGTTTGACAAGAGATTTTCCATTGTTTCAGTAACTTTGCTACTCTTCGCTTATCCAAAAATATTCATTGCAAAAACAAGCATTTATGTAAAATGCAATTGCAGTCTTTACCTTTGCACTATTTTGAACATATAAACTAATAAATAAAAACAGTAATACAATTATTAAACATAATGTGTTGAATAGCTTATGAAATTATAATCTTGAATTTATAACTCTATAAACCACATTCCTTTGTGATTACCAAATGAAGTAAAAGTCTTTCATTTTAGAGAAACTTAAATAGACTTTGATGCCACTTTGGGTTAGCTCTCCTTGTTTTCTGTGACATGGGACCTTTGAGGATGACAATGAGAAACTTTGGCCCCATTGATATCAAAGGGTGTTTTACCATTGTATGCAATTAAGTTGGGATTTCACTCAGTATGCTTAATTGCCTCTGTACTGCAACCATCCGGCCACCCATGCCAGAAATGGATAAATCACTTATGGAAAGCAATTTTCAGAGCATGGTGATACAAGATGGTCCTTCAAATTAAGCTAGCACAATTGGAGCCATGCCAAACATTTTCCTTTCACAGCCTAGGCAAAAACAGAAGGAAAGCCTAGGCTTCTAAGCCTGCCTTCAGTAAAGTATTCACCCTTTAGATGTGTGGGAAACAAATCCCTGTCATATCGTAACATAGATAAAACGCAGTATAAAAGCAAGAGTATAAGGGATGGATGCAAGTATTTCTTATTGCTTCCTGATGAGTAAAGGAGAAGCAAGACATCAAAACATTTCCTGCTCCAGGACAAGGGTAGATGACAAGATACACAGAATAAATTAGGTATTTTCCAGTATCCAGACTTTTTACTGTTACACGTTATTGTTTCTATGATTTCCCTCTGCTTCCTAAATAGAAGACTGTGAACAGCAAACTCCCTGCTGTTGTTTTATTTCATCGCTTTCTTGAGACTTCTACAAAAAATCGAGTTACCTTTGTCTTCCTCATTTTTTCCAATATTCTACAAACATCTTTGAGTTAACATACACTTTCAGCTCAACCATTTGCAACCAGCTTTCCCTGACACTGCAGTGAAACTGTCTTCATCGAAAAGCTAGATTTTCCATCAAAACAGCATATCCAAGATCTCTAATTTTGAAAGCAACATATACCATTAATGCTATTATCTTACAGTGACTCAGGAAGTAGCTCTATATTATTCAAAATACAATGCTCTTTAAAGAGATAAATACGCAGGTTTATAACCAGCATAACTGACAAAAATCAAAATAAACTGCAAACTACAGGGACCGTTATCCATCCTAGGACTAGTTGCTCCTACACTTACCGAGTGAGTGAATTGTTGAGACCAAGACCTAGAGGGTTGTTCTCGTGCATCTTCCTGATCCAAGCCTGGTTCTAATACTCTGCAAGATTAGATGGAGGAAAATGGGGCAAATAATCTTTGTTTCTAAAACAAAGCTATTTGTAGCCATTTTCAAAGAAGTGCCTGACTTCCTTTTTGCTGTCTGGATTCCTCTTTCAGATGCAACTCAGTAAACCAGCTGAAAATTATCCACTATTTCTTTTGCTTCAGATTTCTGACACACCACTGAGTTGAACTGGCTCATGGAGAGATACACAAGTGGCAGAACAGTGTGGCTAGGAAAGAGAAGATGGGGCAACACAGTTTGGAGAAGACAGTGCAAATCCTCTTTTTTGGCTGTCACATACTGTTATATTAGCTCAAGATCCTTAACTTTCATGTATCTACATCCCATGAATCAACTGCGTTGCTAGGACATCACTGTCACAGTTACTTTGCTTTTACATAGCATAACAAGACTGCTTTAGACTCTTGGCTATCCTCTATAAAGTGCTAGCAGGGAACAAATATTGCCATATATCAATTGCCTTTGAAAAAGACATAATGATAGTAATAATAAATGTGTGCAGACGTATTGCAAAGAGTGCCACTGAACTCCAATCTTTCTGTGTTTACCTGCTCTTCCCCTCACTGAAATTCACTATTAAAGATAGACACAAATTAAACATAGCCCCACATATTTTTACAGCAGCTTCCAAAGGCCTCTTGCAACAGGTAACATCACCTTCCCTGCAGTAAAATGAGTTTATCTGAGATGAAAACAAGCATACTTCATATCAGAAGAAAATAAAAGTAATGAAGTGTCATCTACTGCCATGAGTCTGCTATTCAAGCTTATTCTTTCTGGCACCATAGAATATACCTACGATTACCATTCTAGTTCTTGAATGAGTCAAATTCTAGGATTTCAGTTATTATGTTTGAGAGACATGAGACACACAGCTAAGACCTGTTATACCTCACTGTAACGAAAGTTTCCACTGCTAAAAAAGTTTCTTCTGATACGAAGCCAACATCCCCATTGCAAACTTTCATTTGATGGCTTCTCAGAGAATTACGTTTCTCTCATTAAGTTTTCATGACAATGTTCATCTTTCCAATACTTTCTAAAACTTGTTAATAACATATACTATAAGTCAGCACCACACACTTCTCTATAGAAACAGCAAAAACAGTTCAAATAGATTTTTGGCTGCAATGCATCTGCTACAGCTATTGAAATTGCAGTAATAATTCATAGGCACATTTTTTAAAAAAGAATTATGCTTGCATACTAGAAGGAAAATCAAACAATTTTCCTACAATGCCAGGAAAGAACATGACTGAATTATATTCACAGTATCCTTTCCAGAAAGATAATGTGTTACTCAAAAAGCAAGAACTTTTATTTTCAGATTTTTCAGACTGTACCTGAAAGGTTCAATAAAATATACCTCTCTTTCCATCTTTGGAAAAGCCTTACCATTAAAGAAGTAACTTGTCACTTAGCACCTAATAAATACTTTTCCCCAGCCAGAGCTGGGGATTTTCACCTGGATTCAGAGAGGAGGTCAGCACAGCTCCATGGCTGTAATCGCATCATATTGTGTTGGAGGAAGCATGGCCTCTCTTCTCAGTCCCTCAGTGTTAAACTACAGCTGCATTTTGTCCATCAGTGCTCCCAAATGATCAAGTCTCACAAAATACTTTGAAATGGCCTCCTGCTATAGAGGTTCAACTATGGGAAAGTATGAGTATCCGGCAGCGGGACCCTGAGAGCTTTCAACCTCCAAACTCGATGCAGTCCAAATTACCCCCCAGGTTGCACCACTACACTGTGCGCATGTACAACTCCCCCACCTAACTCAGGGCGTGCCCAGCCTTAGGTAGCACACCTTACAACATTTGTAGACAACTAGTAAATCTATCTTGACTAACCTCTTCTCCTTATTTCTCTATTCCAGAGCTGCACAAGATTTTCAAGCCATAGGAGACTTGGGGTGGGAGGAAAGAGGAAGACTGAATTGCTGCCAAGTTACCAAGGCAAAGAACAGTAAAAGAAGACAAACAAGCATAAAAGGGGCTCCAAAGAAATGTGAGGTAAAGACTTCTTGCACCTCGTTTCATTCCTCACATCACCCTTTCAAGTCGACCCGCCCAACCTTTCTAAAATTGCCTCCTTCCAAACTACAGTTTACAATAGATTCCTGGGCATTAATTCTGAAAATCCATTCACTATACAAACCTTGAAATATTATTTTAATATGTACTCATTTATACTAAAAGGAGTGATTACACAGAGTGGTCAGGCAGCCAGCAGACTACATACTTCCTTGTCAGACTGAAATATAACACACACTGATAAAACCTCATCCAAAACATCTCACTGGGTGATGGCCCACAAGAGGCAGCAGAGGTGAGAGCTCATCTAATTTTAGATATTTTTGCCTGCACCAGTAACATAGGCTTCAATATTGATCATGATGATGATAATTTTAAAAAAAAAAAACAAACAAACCAGCTGTATTTGGGGACCTGTGGTTCCTGTGCTGTATTTTAAATAGCAGCTTCAGGATGAGACAAATCACAGCACCGGAGGTGCTGTGCATCGCCACTGCTTTAAAAGCAGTCTTGAACTCTACATTTTGAGAGACAGATCTCACCTTCACAGTCTGCCTCAGTACAGCGAACTGAAATACTTCTAGAAGTAGTCATATGGCTTTCAGCCCTTTAGTTCTAGATTTCTTTTTATTAGATACATTAGAAGCATTAGCAGTAAAAAGTGTTTCTCAAAGTTCAGCCTCATATCTAAGAAAAAAATCCACTCTAAAAAAAATCCACTTAAAAGAAAAAACAGTCTCTAATCACGGAGTATAACAATTTAGCCTTTAATGAGATGTTTATGACCCCAGATTCAACCAGAAATTCAGTATTTCAAATGACTGGGTACCTCCACAGACTAGACTTTTATGCTTTTTAACATAGTGTAGCAGCACCAGGACAGCACTACTAAGCAAACTTCATGAACACTGGTCTGGTCTACCCAGAAAACTCCATTCTTGCTCTAAGAAACAAAATTCCTTCCAAAACACTTCTTGTGGGGTGAAAGGAAAATAGGAAAAGAAAAGAAAAATAGAACACCTGGAAGGAAAGAATTTAAAGTAAGCTTAGTTTCTCATTATGGAATATGCACAATGAAATCTAAGGTTACCAAAATGTACAAATTCGAATAATGAATATACCAGCATATTTGACAAATAAAAACTGGACATGAATGTTTTAAATCTCAGCCTTCTTAATGAGTTGTCATATAGCTTTCAAATACTTTTTTGACTGAATGAGCAGACCAGAAACTCTGGCACAGGTCTTAACATTTTCCTCAATGTTCTCTTTACAACAGCATCCTTGCCAAGAAGTAGGATTATTTTAAATTTTGTGGAAATCGAATGCTGAAGAAGTTCACCTCAAATGAAACTGCGAATCTTTCTGTGCAGTAAGCCAAAAGGTATAAAAAGTGAAAAAGGATACATGTATGGGTTGCTTAAACAGACATTTGCAGACACAGAATTATTTTTTCT